CTACAACGTGTATTTTGTAGGCAGCCGATTGGCGCACAGCAACATTGCCACAAACAGCCATGGAGCGAATGAATGATCTTATCTGTTGGGTTGTTGGCCAGAACAGTGGGAAAAACTCCCTTCTCTTTTTCCAAACAGTGCCGTGTGAGCTCTTCAAAGGCCACCTGAACAGGCAGGCAGACGGGACCTCGGTTTAATGTCTCATCTGAAAGGACGGCACCTCTGATAATGCAGTGCTCCTCTTCCCCAGCTCTGCACTGGAGCGTCAGCTCGGACTGTGAGCTCAAAGTCCCGACGTGGGGCTTGAGCCCACAAACTTCTTCTTGTCATCTCTATCATTAACCCTGTTTCAATGTCAGATTCGGCAGGGATAAAGAGAGATTGTGACATATAGAGCTTGCCTGAATTCATGCATTACTTCATTGAAAGCGCACGGAATGCTTTCAGCTAAATCAAGAATTGTTGCCATGTTCACATAAAACACATGAAACTTTTTTTTTATTGATAAACCGGATAGATCTTCTTATGGATGCAAAGCGGCTTAAAACAATCAATTAGAGTAGGATGGCTGAACTGAATCAGTAAAATCACTTATTCTGATACTCTGGATTGTTGGGAGCCATCTGGCTAATCCATGTTGTGTATCTAGTACATGCAGTTAATAGCAGTTATTAATAACACTCATTAACTGCCTGGCAAAGGAACATACTGCAACCTTCATTTGATGATTGACTTCTGTTATAATGAAATCTCAGTGTAGATGGCAGCCATCTGTATACACCACGCTTTCTCTCATTTAGTGCCCCATATTGTACGGCTGTGCAGAGCAAAACATGATTCTTTTTGGTCAGCCGGGTGTCTGACACGTGCGGAAATCCATCATCGTGCTTAAGAGTATCCAGACCGGACTGAGAGGTCTACGTTCGCTACCCGCACTTGGAAGTTCCCATTCCTGCAATTCCCGTTCCTGGAATGTGCAGGCTGTACCCGAGGGATACACCATTCTTACTTAATTCCGGTTGGCAAGAGCCAAGCCTCGGCAAACCCAGACTGCTGGATCTTGACAAGCTTGTATCAGACAACAGAAATAGAATCAAATAAATAGAACAGCCATGCCATGAAGTGAATGACCGATTCGGTCTGGGTGGTTGGTTAGCCAGGACACTGGGAGCAAAAGTACCACAGGATCTTTGATGTCTACCAGAAAAGGCAGGCGGAACCTCGGTTTAATGTCTCATCCGAAGGACGACACCTCTGGCAATGCCACACACCCCCAGCACTGCACTGGAGTATCAGCCTAGACCATGTGAGATCAAAGTTTTGACTTGGAGCTTGATTTGACCCATTGCCTCCTGACAGAGAGGCGAGAGCTCTACCAACTGAGCCCGGCTGCCTCTTTTTTTTTTTCCTCTCAATATTTCAAAATATTATCCCTTTTTTTTTTAAGAGGACAGCATTTCCCTTCACATTGAAAACCAACCATGCTTTTAGCATTTTAAAAGTCAAAACTAAAAGGGTGTGGAATAATTCATCGCTCATGAATAATTCATGACAATAATTAACTCGGAACTTATCCAACTCCAGCTGAATGCACACGCACTCTCCAGCCTCAGCTTTCTGTGCTATTAACCTTGGCTGAATAGGATCAAGCACAAGGACCAAAGGGTCAAAATCCCATGCTCTACATAGGAAATATGCATTTAGATTGGTTGCAAAATTTGCGGAGTTCATTAAGGTGGGGTAGATACATTTATGCGCCAAATTCCCGAGGGTCCATTGAACGGAAATCGCCTCACATTTACCCTTCTCAAGTCTCTGCCTTCTTTTATAATACTATTCATCATTCCTTATTTTGGTATAGCGCCTTTCATGTCAAGTGGACGTCTCAAAGCAACAACAACGAACAACAAAATTACACTTGTAAAGCGCTTTTCACGTCAGAGGACGTCCCAAGGCGCTGGACAGACAGAGTTACGGACCTGAGCTGGGGATCGGGGTGGGGGAGGGGGGGAAGACAGGGGGGAATGCAGGAAGATCGAAAGCACAGTCGAAGAGGAGGGTCTTGAGGTGGGTCTTGAAGGTGGCGAGGGAGGGGGCGAGACAGGGACTGCTGGATGGCGTTCCAGAGGGTGGATGCAGAGTGGCGGAAGGCCAGCCGGCCGATAGTGGGGAGGGCAAGGCGGGGGACGTGAAGCAGGCCGGAGCCCGCTGAGCGGCAGGAGCGAACAGGTGGTTAGGTGGTCGGAGAGGTAGAGGGGAGCAAACCGTGGAGGGCTTTGAAGGTGAGGACCAGGATCTTGAACTGTATCCTCTGTGTGATGGAAAGCCAGTGGAGTCGGGCGAGGGTGGGGGTGATAGGGTCGCGGAGCCCGGTGCGGGAGAGGACACGAGCTGCAGAGTTCTGGATGATCTGCAGCCTGTGGGAGGGAGGAGTTGGGGAGGCCGACAAGCAGGGAGTTTGCACAGTCGAGCCTCGATGTAATGAAGCACTTCAGAGGATATACTGTAAAGTGAGTGACTGTGTTTTGCGAGTAAATACTGCAGCCGATGCACGTACAACAGCAACAACAACAACAAATTACACTTGTATAGCGCCCTTCGCATCAGAAAAGAAGGTCCCACAAACAGCCATAAAGGGAATGACTAACTTTATTTGTGGGATTGCTGGCCAGGACACTGGGAGAAGCTCCATTGGTTTTTCGAATAATGCATGGGATCTTTAACATTCACCTTAAAAGGCAGTCGGGACCTCAGTTAGATGTTTAATCCGAAGTGCAGCACCTCTGACCATGCAGCACACCCCCAGCACTGTAACGAAACATGAGCCGAGATAATATGAGCTCAGAGTCCTGAGATGCATCGGTCCCTCAGAGGGGAGAGTGCTACCAACTGAGCATTTTTACTGCGGCTACTATGTAAAATGTCCTTATTCCACACGTCTCTGTATATCTAGCAGTAAATAGGGACCCTGTTGTTAGTCGATCGGCGGATCGCTTTTTCGGGGATAATAATTCCTTAAAAAAAATTGTTCACTCGTTTCGCGACTGTTCGTGCGCAATTGGCTGCCTCGTTTCGCCCACAAAATATACAGTCAATTCACTTTACAGTAGATTCTGTGAAGCTCTTTGAGACGTTTCAAAGACCTGATAAGGCGCTACATCAAATGCAAGGATTATTATTGTTATTATTATAATGCCCTTCATATTGGTAATATTTATTTGTTAGTTTTACCAGCAAGACGGCTCATTTATTTTACGTTTCCTGGTGGAAACTGATTTGTCTCTGCGATAATATTCAACAGCAATGACTTACTTTATACAGCACCCGTCATACAGGTTAGAATCTCGAAGCACTTGACAGTGCGGAGTTTGTTGGCAAGCCTGGGAGAGAGGGGAGGTGACTGCAGGCACGATCGAAGAGGAAGGTCTTCAGATGTGATTTGAAAGTGGTTACGGAGTGGGCAAAGCAAAGGGATTGAGGTGACTGACCTGAAGGAGGGGGCAAGACAGAAGAGATTGAGGCAAAGAGTTTGAGTCATGGGGTGTTACTGGCTGAAAGCCTGGCCGCCGATGGTGGAGCGGAGGGCATGAGGGGCATGCAGGAGGCCAGAGCCAGCCGAGCAAAGGTTGGAGAGATAGGAAGTGATGTGTAAGCGAATATGAAGACCTTTCTGCAATAGACAGCTGAAAGGGGCGGGGGGGGTGGGGAGGAGTGCAAAGTTTAGTGCGGGTGAGCGTACAGGCAGCAGAGTTTTGAAATAATTGGGTTATGAATGGTGGAGCTGAGGAGATCTACGGAAAAGGTATTTGAGCGTGAGGTATGGTTGGAGGTGGGCAATGTGACGGAGGTAGAGGAAAGGGATTGGACGTGGGGTAGGAAGGATGGCTGGGGAATCAATCTTGACATCCAGGTTGCACCCAGGTACAATCAGTCTGAGGCACAGGCCGGGGAGGTTAAGACATCGTGAGATGGCAGGTGAATCGATGAGTATGGCTTGCGTCTTGCCAACATTCAGCGAGAGGAAGTCAACGCTCATCCGAGCCTTGATGTCTGACAAGGAAGTGGACAGCACATCGCAGTCTTGGGTCACCGCTGGAGGGCAGATACTCACATCACCTTATCACATCGTCGAGACCTCTCGAAGCTCTTCGCAGGCATTTTTACTGCGGATTGACCGTGTCATTGTAGGCGCACCCAGCAACTTATTTGCATAGCCATGTGGCACAAACAGCCATGGAGCGAGTGGCCAATTTTTTTCTGGCTTGAACGGTGAAAGGACCAGTCAGAGTGAATCAATGAAATTCTTTCATCGCCTTCAGTGGCTAAGCGTGATAAGCTAATTTCATCCTCTGTGCTCTAATTGACACCAGTTTAAAGCAATTCAGTCGATCATCAACTTGTATTAACTTGTCTTTCCTGCTATCTCCAGCAAGTTAGCGAGTTAACGAGTGCAATTTCTTGCACCTGAGATCAATGACTTCTGTTGCACGATGCCAAGATTCACAGTTGGGAGTGTTGGTGATGGCACAGTTTCAGGGTAAGCTGAGTGATGCCAATCCTTGCAATATAAGGGTTTAAAGCGTGATATTCACAAGTAATGGGGCTTGTCGAATCGATTGCAAATTCTGGATTGTGAAATAGGCAAGCTCACGCTTAAATTGTGAAGTGTGATCAATGGCTTGTAAAGACTGTAGGAAACTGCAAAAGAACGTCAATAGATTAAGCAAATGGTCAGATCTATGGTAGATAAAATTCCTTGGGGCAAAGCATGACACTTGGTCGTAGGAATGGGGGAAGGCAATACATAGTAATAATAATAATCCTTGCATTTGATACAGCGCCTCATCATGTCTTCAAGACATCTCAAAGCGCTTCACAGAATACATCGTGATGAAATAAACCTGGTAATTGGAGCCACCAAGGAAGGTGGAAACGTGAGAGGCCAAGTAAAGCAGGGTTACGATAAAGCTGACATTCTCTCTTACATGTTTCTTTTTCAGACAAGTTAAACACCCTTTCCTCGTTCGTTGGGCCTTTCAAGTATTTAAGCCCTGGTTTGGAAAATGCTGAGGATGAAGACAATTTAAGTAAGTATTTTATAATTAGAAAAATAACTTCATCTCGTTAATTACAATTTTCGTGAAACAATATCCCAAGGTTACGATATTGGTTTGGATGAAGGAGGCCCTTTGGCCCATCTGATCTCATCCCTCCTGAATACCCACCCTACCGCCCTCCCACCACAGCAGACTTTGTTTTAAACAAGTCCTGTGCCTGACTCGGCTACCATCCTGTCAACGTGTTCCAGCTGTTAATTACCTCCTGGGTAAAGAAATATTTCCTGGTGTCTGTCCTGAAATTGCCCTTTGCAACACTAAACCTGTGTCCTCTTGTTCTGTTGGATATTGGTGCCACTGAAAGTATTGTTTTGGTTTTACTTTCTCATTCCTATTAAAAAGAATGTGTACGCCTCTATAAGATCTCCTCTGAGACATCTCGTTTCAACACTGAAGACCCCCTAGCTTGTCCGATCATTGCTCATCGTTCACTCCTCTCACACTTGGGAATCATCCTCATGGCTCTCCTCCGCACTGCCTCTAAGGCCTGGGCAGCCCCTTTGTGACACAGGACTGTTATTCACATTTAACTGTTCCCATAAGAAAGCGAGCTCCATCCTGGCTCTTGGTAAGACCCAGACTCAATCGGCAAAGAGCTCAAAGATCCCAAAACGTGACGCCGTTTGGTTGTGCGACCAGCCTAGTTGTTGCTGAACGACTAGTCATGCCGGTACAACCAGCTGCACAGTGTCGAGGGGTTGTAAAGTGAAACGTTCAGTGCAGAAAATGCTTGTGAAGAAAACGTTAACAGTGCTGGGCTTGTTCATAGACGGACCCTAGTTGAAGCACAAGTCTTTCCCCCTCTCCCCCACTCGCCCTGCCAGGGCTTTCAAAATGGTGATATCTGTCAGGCTGACAGACTCGTCTCGTGGATCACAGCCCTTGACAGTAACAGCCTTGGGATCACAGAGGCCACTAATTCTTTTAGTAGCCAAATAAAAAAAGTTCAACAAGCCTGTATTCCACTTACCCTCAGTTAAGAGGTGCAAACTTCCAATGCAGTGGTTCGGCTTCCCTTTGGGTGGTGCTCCTTGGTGTTGGGGGGGTGGGTGGGGGAGGGGTATACAACTATACACAGTCACTACACTTTACAGTATAGGAAGCACTTTTTGGAGACGTCCTCCTGATGTGAAAGGCGCTTTATCGGATGCAAAGATCATCATTATTATTCGATGCGTTTGAATTTTCAATGCTGTTGAGGAGGTTCGTACGTAACTGGTCTGCTTGGCCTGGTATCTAATGATGATACTCGCGAACCACGCATCGAATCAATGAGGTATTTCCCGCAGGATTGGAACAATCTGAAAAGTGGCCTCAATTAATAGGCGCCACTTCCTCTAATATCAAGCACCGTACTTCAGAATGTCTAAACGAAATTACAGACTCATTTAAAGAAAAACATTTTACTGAGTTAAATGAAGCCCCATGAGCGGCAGAGATAAAGTGCAATCTGTGTCAACCACAACAAAAAAGATTGATGCGGGATCGATCCATCAATTTCCAGTTCATCTGAACGATAATCTGGTGGTTTGGAAGCAGTCATGCTCCTCCAAGTCATTACTAACAGCGAATTCTCGCTGACTTCTGCTGGAGCTGTCGACGTACCTTCAGGCAGCCTCCGCTGTGTGTAATGACTGAGCGAGTGAGTCAATAATTGTCGTGGTGTAATAGGTGTCATTTATATCTATCCAGGGTACACTTAAAACAATCTGTTTCGACCGCAAGATGCATTGCTTGGATGGATATTCTGAAGGATTTTGCAATGTAGGAATGCACATTTCCTGGCGGAACCACGCATTATTCTTTCTTCCTGCTTTGTACCCTTAATTTCATAGAATCAGAGAATCCTGCAGCACAGAAGGAGGTCATTCGGTCCATCGTTTCTATGCTAGCTCTTTGAAAGAGCTATCCAACTAGTCCCACTCCCTCGCCCTTACCCCGTAATTTCAAGCCCTTCTATACAGATTAAAAATATAAGAACAATCCTTGCATTTCATATAGTCTTTTCACGTCAGAAGGACTTCACAGGAAATTGCAGTGACCCTGTAGTTTGTAGTTGAGCGCAGCAGCTGATTTGAGCACAGCAATGTCTTACACACAGCCACAAAATGAAGCCACAACCAATTTTACCCGGAGGATTGTTAATCAGGACTCCAGGAGGAACTCCCTTTCTTTTTGAGTTGTGTCAATATCTACCTGAACATACAGACAAGACCTCAGTTTAATTTCTCATACAAGACTGTATGAGTCCATCTAGTCTCCTGCCTCGGAGGCGAGAGTGCTGGATGTCTTTTGCATTCTTTGTTAATACAATAGGTTACCTACCGATGGCCCCCCTGTTGTGTTGTAGACCTTGTCGGTTCTATGTCTTGTCGGAGCCCTCATTAAAGGGTGTCACACCAGCTCACTCAGCTTCCAATTCATTTCATTTCACACCTGGCCCAAGCCCAGCATTGCTTATGGTGTGATCTGCTAGAATGTGTTTTGTCAAAATGAACACGTTCAAACCTACAGCCTGTGCTGAGTTAGCTGATACTCAGCTGCGGTTATGAATTGACTTTGTGATTTAGATACGTAAAATACCCACTCTTCTGAGCCCCAAATTCCAGCTTGTCGTACCCTGCAATACTGATAACCCTTGCATTTGATGTAGTGCCTCATCACGTCGTCGAGCTGTCTCAAAGCGCTGTAAGAATACTTTAGGTGTCAGCCTGGCTCATTTGGCAGCATTCTTGCCTGTCAGAGGGCTGAGTCAGAGTTGCTGTGGATTTCAAGCCCCGCATTAGGATTTGGAACTCAATATAGTCCAGGCTGATATTCCAATTCAATGCTGAAGGAGCACTGCATTGTTGGAGGTGCCATCTTTCGGATGACATGTTAAACTGTGGTCTTAGCTGTCTGTTCAGGTGGCTGTTAAAGAGCCTATGGCACGATTCGAAAAGAGAAAGGAGTTCCTCAGGGTGTCCTGGCCAACAAACCCCCAAATATTATCAGTGAGTCACTTTATGGCTGAACTCGCTCCTCCCTCACCCGACTTAATGAGAGGTCGATAGAGAGTGATCAGAAAAGGGAACCTAGGGAATATTTCATCCCTGAAGGCCAAGTCGGCAGCTCCTGGAGAGAATGGGAACAGCAGCACTTATATACCGTCTTTCACTTTGTTAAGTATCTCAAAGCACTTTGCAGAGATGCTGTGGGAGCGTAGGACAGGGAGGGGGCTGTCAGCCTTTATCGGAAAGGGAAACAAAAGAGTTCTGCAGATTTCTCTGAAGAAATATCAAAACAAATTGAAATAATTGAACTGGAGCAAATCTCCCGTCTGCTGTGGCGAGAACTCTGCCCCACAGCGAATGTGACATAATTACAATACAATACAAAATTACATTTGTACAGCGCCTTTCACATCGGGAGGACGTCCCAAGGCGCTGGACAGTCAAGGATTTGGACCCGAGCGAGGCGAAGGGAATGTGGGATGGAGTTCCATAGGGTGGGAGCAGAAAGACTGAAGATCTGATGGATTGGGGCTCAGGCTTCTCCTGGCTGTTGCCTGAAAATACCTTACAGCAAAGATATTGAATAGATAATCCATGCATTTGATATAGAGACTTACCACATCATTGAGATATAATAATAATAATAATAATAATCCTAGCAATTGATATTGTGTCTTATGAGGTCATTGAGATGTCTCAAAGCGCTTCACAGAATATATTGTGAAGTAGATTAACTGTGTATTTTATGGGCGAAACGCCACAAAATACATCTCAAAGCCCTTCCCAGAATTTACTGTAAAGTGTAGTGACCATGACTCGTAGGCAAATATATGCAGAGCGTAGACTGTTCTGGCAAGTAAGGTGGTAGAAGCAGAGTCCATTGTGGCTTTCAAGTGGGACACAGACAGGCATGTGAAAGTTAAAGGCGTGTAGGGATATGCGGAAAGAGCAGGGCAGTGGGATTGATGGACACCTGGTTCTGAGAGCCAGTGCAGGCTCAATGGGCTAAATGGCCTCCTTCTACACCGCAGATATTTATGAGTTGATAACCATTCCTTTCAGGAATGTGAAGGCTTGCAGTCTGTAGCTTTTGGGGTTCATTTCCTACCTTTGGCAACGTCAACATTTCTTCCACTGGGTTTGTACAAGGGCGTCTCAGGGGCCTTCAATAAACTTACATTGAAAGAAATCGAAGCAGGTTGCCTCCTGTGTGAATCCCTGTAAATCCCTCAGGCAGTGCCTCAGATGGATTAAGTGCATCTCATGGGGGTTCATTCTGAGTCATTCAGATCAAGAAGACTCTGGTACCATCCCTGCTCTGTGCTCTGTTAGTTAATCTCATGTGGGATAGCGGTGGGAGCTCTACCATTGAGATTTTTTTCTAGGCCACAGAAGGCTTGGGGGTAGGAGTGGGTAGAAAAAGATCAATAGAGGCCTCTGTGGTTTTCTTAGAATGTAAGGTCATCTCCTCCCTCCCCTTCCTCTCCCACATACCCCTAATCCTCACATCCTCTCAATATGAAAGGCTCTAAATAAATGCGCATACACAATGGCAAGGCTTGCTTCTCGACTAACAAACTATATATCTGTCTGCCTTGCCACCCATCCATCCATCCATTCATCCATCCATGTAGAGGTAATAACCCCTTCAAATAAAAAGAAAAGAAAAATTATAATTTGGTCACTTCAATCCATGACTGTTTGTGGGACACCACTGTGCGCAATTGGCTGCCACGTTTTGCCCACAAAATATACAGTCGATTCACTTTTTTGTATATCCTGTGAAGCGCTTTGAGGGGTCTCGAACACGTGATAGGCGCTGTGTCAAATGCAAGGGTTACTATCATCATTATTATTATTATTATTATTGGACCAGAGCTGTACCACGTTGTTGTACTTTAACAGGTACCAGCAGCGTCGAGGTAAAGGAGAATCGCAACGTGGGCAACTTGTCGTTGGAAGACCACACGCGGGCACCTGGCGAGAGGCAGGTCTTACGCTGCTCGGAGGTTGCAAGAAGAGGAACATCTGGGCTGAAGAGAAAGAGACCCCTGGAGGAAGGCAATAACGGGCACATGCACCCAAAGGTGCAGCTGAAATGCAAGAAGCTGTCGTGGTCTGTGACCCCCAAGAACGCTCTGGTGCAGCTGAACGAACTCAAGCCGGGCTTGCAGTACAGGCTGGTCTCTCAGACTGGACCGGTGCACGCGCCCATATTTGCCATTGCAGTCGAGGTTAACGGGTTAGTATTTGAAGGCACGGGACCTACCAAAAAGAAGGCCAAGATGAGGGCTGCAGAAATGGCCCTGCAGTCCTTTGTGCAGTTTCCCAACGCCTCCCAGGCTCACTTTGCCATGGGCAGCTGCGTGAACCCGGGCACGGACTTCACGTCCGACCAGGCTGACATCCCCAGCACACTGTTCAAAGAGTTTGAGCCGTCCGCCCAGAGCCACGGCTTGCCTTGCTGCAGCCCCGCCGGCAATGACTTGCTATACAGCGCTTGTCGCCGCGGGCGGTTACTCTGCCACACTTTGGATTTAATGGTCCAGACCAAACACGGCAAGCACGGGCCAGGCCTGCCGTTCCCAGCAGCGAGCAGGAAGAATCCAGTCGAGATGTTAAATGAGCTGCGACCCGGACTGAGCTACGTGTGCCTCTCGGAGATGGCGGAGAAGCACGTGAAAAGCTTTGTGATGGCAGTCAGCGTGGATGGGAGGACATTTGAAGGCTCAGGACGCAGCAAGAAGCTGGCCAAAGCCCAAAGCGCACAGGCTGCTCTGCAGACTCTCTTTAATATCCAGCCAGTACCCAGTGGAAAGCTTTGTCGCACGCCTGGCAGGAATAAACGTCCTCATTTGCCACAGGTGAGAATTGGCTGCCAGCTATTGGCAGACCTTGGAACTTCACCATAGGTTATTGGCAGAGCTTAACAGCTTTCGTTTACACAGATGGTTTTGGGGAGGGAACGTGGAAAATATATAAGGAATGGGAGTAGGCCATTCAGCCCCTCAAGACTGTTCCGCCATTCTATAAGATCATGGCGGAACTGTACCTCAACTCCAATTACCCGCCTTTGCCCCATATCCCTTGGTACCCTGACCTAACAAACATCTATCCACATCATTCCCGAAAATTTGTGCATCCGCAGCCTTTAGCGCCTTGGGACGTCCTTCTGACGTGAAAGACGCTATGCAAATGGAATTTGTTGTTGTTGTTGTTGTTGTTTTGGGGGGAGAGAGAGTTCCAGATTTCCACTGCACTTTGTGTGAAAAATTGCCTCTTGATTTCATTCCTAAATGGCTTAGCTCTAATATTAAGAGTAGGTACCCCTGTTCTGGATTTACCTCCCTCCCACCCCGATGAAATACTTTCTCGGTAGCTACCGTATAGGGGGTTGTGGGCAATATAATACAATAAACATTTATTTAGCTCCTTTCACGACAGGAGGACGTAAAAGTGCTTCACAATGCTGGGTGGGAGCTGAGGAGGGTGGGGAGGCGAAAGCGGGTCAAAGAAGTAGGTTTTGAGATGTGTTTGGAAAGAGGGGCGAGAGGGAGGGAGGGAGCGAGCGAGTTGGAGGGACACTGGGGTGGAGGAGTGGGGGAAATGACTTTGATAAACTTCTGTGACTCTCTGCCCCCACCCTTTGGAACTCAATCCCACAATCCCTTCGCCTCGCTCCCTGTGCCTTGGGATGTCCTCCCAACGTGATTAAGTGCTTTACAAATGTTATTTTGTTGTTGTTGTTGTTGTGTTGCTGCGACGAGATTAGGAATTAGCGGATTGTTTTACCGATAATTTTACTTGAACAACTTTCAACTGCGGGACACTTTTCTCACCGTTTCTGGGTTTGAGGACTGGGAACGTGAAGATAATAATGACGGGTCGGGCACTTTCGAAGGCTGTAAAAAAAAATACGTTACTCTAAGCTGCCTGACCTGAATCCGATTCCCTTTGAAACTGGTGCACACTGGGGGTAATGCCAAAAGGGTTACACTGTTTAATGCCGGTGACAGAGAATCCAAGGTTATTCAGTGGTTTTAAATGGAAATTTGACCTGAAATTCCTTGGGTGTTTGATGATGGGTCGGACATCATTTGCAATGCTAAGAGTTTTCACAACAATGCAGCCTTTCCAATGAGACGGGTTTGAGATCTGACAGAACAGCGTGTTGTCCAGCTCCTCGGGACTTCCTCCCAACGCGAAAGGCGCCAAACGAATGTAATTTGGTACTTTGTTGTTCCTCTCCGCTAGCACGTAATCGTCATGGCCAACACAAAGACAAGACAGGAATAAACTCCACCATCTGTGTGTGTGTGTATGTTATCCCTATAGCAGGGAAGCGTGAAAAATATTTTTTGTCAGAGGAACATGGGCCAGAATCTTCACCAGGGTTTGACAAGGTCACTAAATTGGTTTCGATGAAGAAGCCTCTTTGGCCTATCCAATCTCATCCCTTCATAATAATGATGATGATAATAATAATTCTTGAATTTGATCTAGCGCCTTACCACGTCAGGGTTTCCGTGTGATCCCCTCCCCTTCAAATAAAACTAGCGTTCTATCGACTTGATCAAGACACTTAGAAGAAGAAGTTGGTTGCAGTCATTGGCTGTGATCGGAGGATAACCCTTCAGGAGAGAAGGCTTGAAGATGGCACTGACGGCTGGTTTGGGATCAATTAAGGTGCCTCAGTCCACATGCCAAAAAACCCCAACACCGGTCTGACAACCTCAGAATCCATCTTAAAGTAGAAGTAGCGAGAATCATGGTACAAGCCCAGCGAAGCACAAAATGTTCACTTAGATCTGTCAGAGCACCACATGTGAAATCTGACCTTTGAATTACTCTAGCGGTTGTTTAACTGCTAAGTCAAACTGCAGTCGTTCTTTTGTTCTCAATAGCACCATCCTCACAGGCGTCGTTTTTTGGTTGCGAATCCTCGACACAATTTGAGGTGTCTCATCGAAATAGACAACGTGTCATTTCTACGTGAGGACTGTTTTTTTCCGACCCATTTGATACAGCGGCTTATCACCGAAATGTGCATGGTGTGTTATATGGTCAAATGGTTCACCCATAAATATACAGTCAATTCACTTTACAGTATATTCTGTGAAGCGCTTTTGAGACGTCTAGAAGACGTGAAAAGCGCTATATCAAATGCAAGGATTATTTGATTATTATTATTATTAACTGTAGTGACTGTGTATTTGTTGGAGTGAGGCCTAACGTGGAAACCATTGGCAAAACATCAATGGCGAAAGTTGTCAGGGTTAAGGTAGAATTTGTTCCATCGACTTACAATTTCTTTGAAACCAGAGTCCCTTTTGATGCTTTCCTCGAAATAGGATAATGATTTCTGCAGAAAATATTTGGTTACATGGCGGAGTTTCCATGGAGCTATTACCGCAGCCTTCAACTCACATCCTCCCCCTCCCACCCGTTGTCAGTGTCTGTCTGAGCCCCAAAACAGGTGTTCCCATAGTTTAGTGGTTTGCATGCTCACATCACTCAAATCACTAAAACACTGCTGTGTGCAATTGGCTGCCGCATTTCGCCCACAAAATATTACAGTCCATCCACTTACAATATATTCTGTGAAATGCTTTCAGACATCTCAATAATGCGATAAAGCTCTATATTAAGTGCATTACCTTAGTATTGTGCCTTTCACATTGGCAGGACATTTCAAAGGACTTCGCTGAATATACTGTACAATGTAGTGTCTATGTATTTTGTAGACAAACCCAGCAACCAATTTGCAAGCCGCAGTGTCCCACAAACAGCCGTGAAGTGAATAGACGATTTTATCTGGGAGATTGTTAGTCAGAACACTGGGAGAAACTGCCTTCATTTTTTTGATAGTCCCATGGGATCTTCAACATCCATCTGAACAGCCAGACAGAACCTCAGTTTGATATCTTGTCCGAAAGGTCCCACCTCCGTCAACCCAGCACTGCACGTGGAGTTTCAGCCTTGACTGTGAACGATGTGGGGTTTGAACCCTTAATTTTCTGACTCAGTGCGTCCGACTGAGCCAGGCTGACAGGCTAATATAATGGAGTGGTGAGAGGGGTTGCTAGGTGAAAGCTATCCAGTTTAGAGGATGATGGAGGGGTTTACATCTACAGTACGCTGCACTTAATGTAATGCTGAAGATAGCCCTGGGCTGTCAGTATTTACCATCACAGGCATGAATATACAGTAGCTTCCAAAACTTGAATGCTCCTCTCCAGGAAGCACTGGTCTAAAGGGACACAACATACCAAAATGGAAGGCTATGCAAAGGCATGTTATACAGTTGTTTAAATTGCTTAACCCTATAACTGCTTGGGCAGAGAGGACTTAAATCAACACACGAGTCACTTCTGACTGGGGGCAAAACAGCTTGCACATTTCGTGGTCAATTACGTGTGCTAAGTAATTCATCTTATTAAACCCTTGGGCCAGGAGTGTGAACACGATTGTTATAATGTGTTCACACAACATGCAATTATTTTCCTTGCCGCCTGCAGTGAAACTGCCTTTAACAGAGCAGCTGACAAATCCCACTGTGCTGCTCTGTCCTGGAACCAGGCCTGTACTAAGGCATTCTGGCAATGTCATCCCAGGCTCCTCCTATTGCTGAGCACTGACTGAGGAGTGCTTCAGGCTCGTAGCGATCTCATCCCATTGTTTCGGGTACGGAATCGCCCTTTCGTTCGTCCAAACAAGGGCTACAAAGGACCCGGGTTCGATTCCCAGGCAGGGCAAAACCTTTGGCAAGTTTCCTTAGTCCACAAGCCTCTGTTTACCTAGGAAGTAAGTAAGAACCCGGTTGTTCGTCACTTGGTGGATCGCTTTCCAGGGGTAATAAGCTCTCCAAAAGAAACTGGGTCGCTCAATCCACGACCGTTTTGTGGGCCACTCCTGTTGTGCAATTGGCTGCCGCGTTTCTCCCACAAGATACACAGTCGCTACACCTTACAGTATATCCTGTGAAGTGCTTTGAGACCTCTCGGTGACGTGATAAGGCGCTGTATCAAATGCAATGATTATTTTTATTAATATTATTATTATTAGCCCCTTCAAAGTAAATGGGAAAAATATGAAGAAGCGTTTGGATTGCGCTTTTCATGTCAGGAGGGACGTCTCAAAGCGTTCCAGAGGACATACTGTAAAGGGGGCACGACTGCATTTTGTAGGCGAATGTGAGACCTAATTTGCACACAGCCATTGGTATTATGTAAGATGTATTTTATCCGAGTGAGACTATATAGGGTGCCTCGTACCCCAGTGGCCTTTGTCACCTCTCGGCTGGACCACTCTAACGCCCATCCACCATCATCCATAAAATCCAAATCATTCAAAACTCTGCCGCCCGCATTCCCCCGAGTCCTCCCCTCCACCCTAGGTGGCCGTGCCTTCAGCCACTATGCCCCGAGGCTCTCGAACTGCCTTCCTCACTCCCTTCGCCTCGCTCCCTCTCTTTCTATTTTCAGGTCTCTGCTGAAGACCTTTCCTTTTGACCGCGCCTTTGGTCACCTCCACCACCCCCCCCCCCCCACCTCCCTCTGACTCGGTCCCGGAATCCGTTACTGTAAAGCGCTCTGAGACGCCATCCGGCGTGGAAGGCGCTATATAAATCCAAGTTGTTGTTGTTGTTGGTGGGGTATAGAGATACACACCACGAGTGACCAATTTTATTCGGGAGATTGTTGGTCAGGATTCCAGAAGAAACTCCCTTCTCGTTTCAAAATGTGGGATCTGTTACGTCCACCTGAACTGGCAGACAGGCTTAGTTTAACATCTCATCAGAACAATGCAGCACCTCTCTATAATAATGATAATAATAATTAATAATAATCATCCTTGCATTTTG